TTTATCTATAGTTCCATCCGGTTTAAGTTTTTTACAAAGGACTCATTTACACCTAATAGTTTTACAACCTAGAGGTAAATCCACTAGCTTCCATGTTTTATTTGAAAGTAGTGAATCTATCTCATCATTTACGGCCTCTTTCCAGAAAATAGCATCAGGTGATGATAAAGGTTCTTGCACTGTAAGAGGAATTTCTTCCACATTGTAAAGATAATAGTCAGTGCCAAAATCTTTTTCAACTCTAGCTCGTTTACTTCTTCTTGGTTGGATTTGAAAATTTTCTTGTTCTTGAAAAACTTGAGAAGGAGTAGAAGAGCTAGGCACGGATAAAATATTTTCAGAAATTATTTGACCTCCACTGTTTCTAGATTTGAAAGGAAATTTATTTTCATGAAAAATAGCATCACCTGATTCAAAAATAATATTATTTTCCATGTCAAAAAATCTATAAGTTGTACTATGCAACGCATACCCAAGAAAAGCACAGGTGGTAGCTCGTTCACCCAATTTAGGTCGTTTAGGATCTGCAAGCCTCACAAAAGCTAAACAACCCCAAACCCTCAAATAACCTAGATTTGGTTTATGCCCCCGCCACAACTCATAAGGCACAATTTTAGTCTTTTTGTGTGGCACTCTATTTATTACATGGCAAGCTGTCAAAATAGTCTCGCCCCAAAAATTTGAGGGAGCACCTGAATCAATAAGCACAACATTCGTCAAGTCAATTAACGTTCTATTTTTTCTTTCAGCTACACCATTAGATGAAGGTGAATATGGTGGAGTAGTCTCATAAATAATTCTCAATGACTGAACAAAAGAGTTGAATCCAAGAGATTCATACTCCCGGCCTCTATCACTTCTAATTCGCTTAATCTTTTTACCAAATTGATTTTCTACTTCAAGAAGGAATTCTTTAAATTTCTCAAAAGCATCACTTTTATTTTTTAATAAATATATGTTTGTGTATTTTGAAAAATCATCAATAAAAGTGATAAAATATCGGTTACCACCCCGAGTTAAAATTCCTTCAAACTCACGCAAATCAGTATGAAATAATTCTAGCAATTCGGTATTTTTTTCAACACTTTTATGAGGCCTCTTGGTAATTTTTTCTTTACTGCAAACTTCACATTTCTCAATTTTTTTTTTTTGTCACTTTAGGAATTAATCCTAAACTACTCATAATTCTCACATATTTAATTTATACTCATCTGTATTGTAGGAAGCCACTTTTGGTTCATGTGCCTCGTAGTCTTCATTATTCATCTCCTCAGTTGGGATTTTGTTTGGGTTCTTCTCAGTAAGAACATATGCAACTTTCAAAAGGCTAAGGTAAAAAAGAACTTTTCCTTTCCACCTCTTAAAATGAACTCCCTTGAACTTGAAAGGCTTGTTAAGATAACTAATTCCATCATTGGTTTTTTCTGGTACTTGATCCATGATTGGACTCCTTAAAATTGTTGGTGAAAATACCAGAAAAAAATATATTTTATTGATAAATAATACAAAGAAAATGAGATACAAATAGATCAGGCTGAGGCACGGATATCTCGTTTTCTTTAAGGAGATCAAGCCCACTGCAGTAGAAAGAACCCAAATACCAGTGTAGCAGTCACAAAACTATGACTTGTCCCCTCCAGGATACAACAGCCCGACTACTTGTCGTATGGTTCAGGCCAACTCTGCACAAGATGGTGAACCCAAAGCTCCACAAAGAAAAACACCCTTCTTTACTAGTAATCTCTCAAGTATAGAAAAATAGTTGGTGAGTTGATGTAGAAAATAGTAGATGAGATGGACTATTTATAGGCCACTAAGACATACAAATGACCAAGAACCTAAAGAAAAGGGAGAGTGTACCAAACATAACTCACCACCAAGTTCATGAATTCTAATTAATCTTAATTCATGAACAAAACAAAAAGACACCAAAGCAATGAATCGCAATATATGAACAAGATGAGATTCATGAATAAAATAAAAGAAGATTCAAGAACAATATAAATAAATAAATAAAAGATATTAAAATGGTCCAACAAATTCTTCTTATATCCTAATATGAATTTACTAATAAGGACAATATATATTAAACCCTAAACTAATTTTTTTTTCTCATGGTACACCTTTATCAGTTATTCTTATTTAAATATTTGTATCTTCTTTCCCAAGAGATCAAAGTTATTTCTTCTTCTTCTTCTGCTTCCCTCCAAAACTCCAATACACTCTACCAAAACTCATCATCATCATCAACATCAACATCATTGTTTTTTATTATTTTGAAATCCTAAACCCTAGAAGAAAATTTGAATAAAATCAAATAATGGATAAGAATAATAATAAAAATAGGTTTTTGAAGCAACCCATTAAAAATGAGGTAAGTATTCATATAAAGGGATTTCACAATTTTTGCAGAGTACCATCAATTATTTTCTATATCATTTTTATGACAAAAATTAAAGGGCCTAGTAGTTAGATTAACAATAACTTATTATTGAAATTGTTCTTATTTTATCATTTGAATAGTACATTTTTTGAGAATTACTCTTTCTTGTTAGTGTCTGATGCTTATGTGCTTATAAGTTTGGTTTTTACTTTTCCACGAGTATTATTGTGGATAATTTGTAATGTAAAAGTTTCTTTTTTTGTTTGAAATGTTTTATAACGCTTATGTAAAAATTTGGTTTTTTTTTTCTTGTATTTATAATGCTTATGTGTTTATAAGTTTGTTTTTCTTGTATTTGAAAATTATTTTCTGTATTGAAATTTTTTTGAAATAATTTAGCTTTTTTAGTTTGTTTATTTTTTATTATTAGGTTTACCTTGAGGGTAATTTGGGGAAAATAATAGGATATAATGAGAGTAAAATAAAATTTCAAATAATTAAACAAAGTGTATTTAAAAATTTAAAATATTTAATAATTTTTTAGGTATAAATAGAATCCCCTTGTACTTGCCTCTAAGAAAGACAAAAATAAGGCTTTGTTTGGTTTGTTTTTGAGAAATAAATTTTGGAGAAATTTTTTTAAAATTTTGTTTGATTTAGTAATTTTTAAAAAAAAAATTCAAAATCACTTTATATTTTCTACACATCAAACAATGACTTTTTCTCTCTCCTCTCTTATTCTCAATCATTTTTTCTTTCATATACATTTACTCAATTATAACAAAATATCAAATCATCTCAAACTCTCATATTCCAAAACTATTTCCAAAATATACAACTAAACAAACCAAAAAAAAAATTAAACTCTTTCCAATTTTTTTCCCTAAGATTTTTTAAAAAAAATTTATCTCCTAAAACCAAACCAAACACACTCTACATATTTCTCGGATAATTTAACCCAAAAAAACAGATGTTGATGGACATTTCGGCCGAGGAATTAGAAAACAGCTAGGCCGAGGATCACCATAGTACTTTGGGCCAATCTATAATTAGTAACCTAGCAATCAACAGCCCGACAGGACATTAATGGGCTGCTAAAAGGCAAAAGGTAAATAGTACTTTGGGCCAAACATGGAGCATAAAAGGATATCAGAAAAAAGGTCATATATATATATATATTTTTAAAACTTGTCTTTAGTGTTTTTTCATTTTCATTTTTTATTATGTGTTAAAATATTTTTAATTTTAAAGTCCATCTAGAAAAATCTAATCTAAATCACTAGTAGAATTTTTCAAAATATTTTTTTTTTCTTTTATGGTCCGTCTAATAATGTAAACTTATTTGAAATTATTAAAAAAATATTACTAATGTTCTGGCAACATGCTTTTTTAGTTACAATGTCAAAAAATTATTATAAAAAAGTCAACTATTCTCTATATTTTTTTAAACATTTTCGTTAAAATAAATAAGACAATTAAAATAGTCAATTTCTATAATAACCCAAATTCGAAAAAAAAAAATCAATAAAAAGGCCAATTCCAAACAAAATCTCAAATAATTTTGAACTCGTTTTTCAAACATATATTTTTGTAAAGTAGTATTTTGACAAACTTTTTAGAACTCTTCTGGTTTGATTTTTAAATGAGTTTTCATTTATTTTTATATTTTAATTAATTTTTCTGTATTTTTTAGTTGTAAAATAATTTGACTAAAATATTTTATAAAAAAATCATAGAAAACGAACATCAATCGGAACAAAAAAAACTGTATTCATTTTTGTTCAAGTTTTCTATGTTTTAGTGATTTATTTTCATTTTTTAGTAATTTTGTTTTAAGCATTGGATACATATAATCTTGATATATTTAAAAAATAAAACTAAATTATTTAAAAAATAAAAAAAAAATCAGTAAAATAAATAAAAACCTGTCTAAAATTAAATTTTTATTTTTTTTATTAAAAAAAATGTTTTAAGGAAAACAAACAGGCTTGTTTTTTACCCTCCCTCACTTCCACTTGCTCTTTTTCTTTCTCTCTCTAGTGATTGATTTGAGAGGAGGGCGACTAGTACAGGACTAGATGGTGTGCCAAAGGAAAATGTTTGGGAGTTCTAGAGGAAGAGCTCTAAAGAGAGCTCTAATGGTGGGTCTCACCATATAATGTGATGTTTTGGCTTGTGTTTTGGTTTTTTATATATTTATTTATTTATACTTTTCTTCGTAAGTTCGACTGCTCAGAAGTTGTGTGAAACAATGCCTCTCGGTCCACAACACCATCTGGGTATCTCCCAGATACACAAATCTGAGATGGGTTTTTCTACTTGCTCAATATCTTTGTTCCACAACACCATCTGGGTATCTCCCAGATACACAAATCTGAGATGGGTTTTTCTACTTGCTCAATATCTTTGTATGTACAGCTCAAATTAACGGTTTGGATTTGATTCTTAGCTGTGACTGTGCTTTTTAGTAGTTATTCATTCTGTTTTAATATGTGGGTTTGGATTGCCTATTGGGGTTATATGAATGGTTTGGTTTTCTAATGATTGATTTAGTTTTATTCATTTATTAATTAATTGGTGAGTATTTTAATGTTTATGGTTTTTATTGGATCGGTTTGGAATGGTGTTTTCTCTGTTCATTTAAATATTTTCTTAATGGATTTAGTTTCAAGTTTTGGTGTTTATGGTTTTCCTGGATTGCTTTAGGAATTAATGGGGAAGAAAGGTAAGAAGAAGGCCCGAAGTGGTCATAAGGAGAGGCGGGTTTCTACAGCTTGTCAGAGAAGTGTTGGCGAGGAAAGTATTCCAACCACTGAGGCTGTTAATGATGGACTTTCAGTTGTAAAAGAGAGGAAAGTGTGTGCCCATCTTGATAAGGGTATTGATTTGGTTAAAGTTTCTTCAAGAATAGGGTCTATAGAAGGTGTTAGGTGTGAAGATTGTAGGGAAGGTGTGGTTGATAGGCGGGCAGGTAAGGGAAGGGGCAAGCATGGGAAGAAGAAAGGGGGAGGTTCTGTGGATACTAAATCTGATAATAAAGCAATTTGGGTTTGTTTGGAATGTGGCCATTTTTCCTGTGGAGGTATTGGATTACCAACAACCTCTCAAAGCCATGCAGTTTGGCATGCTAGGCAAAACCGTCATCCATTGGCTATTCAATTTGAAAATCTTCAACTATGCTGGTGCTTCCCGTGCAATATGCTTATTCCAATTGAAAAATTGGAGGAAAATGGTGAACATAAAGATTTGTTGTCAGATATTGTAAAACTCATAAAGGGACGGTCATCGCAAAGGGCCTCAGCGGATGTTGAGGATGTTCGGTTTGGGAGTGACAGTGTCACAAGTGAGCTAAAATCAGAAAACACCGCTCAAACTAATTTTGATGGAAAAAGTGGTTATGTTGTAAGAGGCTTGGTTAATCTAGGGAATACTTGTTTCTTTAATTCAATCATGCAGAATCTCCTAGCAATTGATAAATTGCGGGAACACTTCTTGGACCTGGATGAGTCTGTTGGGCCTCTTACTGTTTCTTTGAAGAAGGTTTTTGCTGAAACTAGTCAAGAGGCTGGCTTGAGAAATGTGATAAATCCAAGATCCTTTTTTGGGTGTATTTGTTCCAAGGCTCCCCAATTTAGGGGATATCAACAGCATGACAGCCATGAATTGCTTCGTTGTTTACTGGATGGGTTGTGTACCGAAGAGTTGAGTGCAAGAAAACAAAATACTTGGGAAAATGGAATTTCCAAAAATTTGGGTCCTACTTTTGTAGATACCATCTTTGGGGGCCAATTATCTAGTACTGTTTCGTGTTTGGAATGTGGGCACTCTTCAACAGTTTTTGAGCCTTTTCTAGATCTCTCACTGCCTGTTCCAACCAAGAAACCGCTGTCTAAAAGGGCCCAATCTATTTCTCGAGCCAAGAAACCCAAACTGCCTCCAAAAAGAAGTGCACGGATTCGTCCTAAAGTTAATAATAAGGGTGCAGATTTTGTAGAATCTGAAAGTGTTCCAATCCTGACAGCTGGTGGTGCATCTTCTTGTCTTGAAGGATCTAGTCTGCCTCTTTCAGATGAAGCAGGAGATGCTTTGGCCAATCCTACACTGCCAGAATCCATTGGCCCGAGTACAGTGGCAGAAAAGGGGAGTTCAGTTTTATTAAATCCCTTAACTACTGAAGAGTTTGAAAAGAAGCCATTCCTCAAAAATGTTACAAATAAAGAAGAAGATTCATTAGACAATTTAACATGGTTGGATTTCCTGGAACCAGATCCCGTGACAGATGGCCATGATACAGCTTCAAAAGCTAATGACACTGCAGTAATTCATGATTCAGGAAAAAAAGTTGCTGTCCAAAATGATGCCTCATTGCAGGATGGAATAGAATCAAGCAAGAAAGTCCATTCCCTTTGTATGGTAGAAACATCTGGTTCATCGAGCAATTGGGATTACTCTGAACCAGCTATGTTATTGGATGAACATGGTATGGCGTCAAAAGTTAACAATGCGTCGGAAACTCAAGATTATAGAGGCAAGGATGCTGTTGAGAATGATGTCTTTTTGCAGAATATATCAGGACCTAGTGCTCAGGTTTGCACTCTTTATATGGAACCAAATCTGGAAGTTAATTCTGCAGGGAATTCTTTTGAGAATGAGCTTCCATTACAGGTTCATGGTTCTGAAATTCTGTTGCTTCCTTATAAAAATGAAACTTCAACTAGTGTTGAGATTTTGGGAGGAGAAGGTGAGGCATCCTTGTCAGCTGTTGGTTGTGAACCAGATGTATTGGACTTTGATGGTTTTGGAGACTTATTTAACGAACCAGACATTGCTGCAGGTCCCAATGCAGAACCCTTGTCAAGTAATAATAATTATCAGGCAGATGAAATTGCAGAAACTGCTTCATTAGTGGGAAATATCAGTGAGACTGATCCAGATGAAGTTGATGATAGTGATTCTCCAGTGTCCATAGAGAGTTGTTTGGCTTATTTCATAAAGCCAGAGCTTCTCTCCAATGAGCATGCATGGCATTGTGAAAATTGTTCAAAAGTTATGCAAGAACAAAGGATGCAATCAAGGAAGAAAAAGCAGAAAGCTCCACCCAAGATTCAGATAAGTGGGTTGGAGGATAGAATTCAAAGTAATCCATCAAGTTCAACAAATGATTGCCCTTGCACTGGTGAAGTTAGAAGTCTAAGTAATGGAGATATTAGAAAAGATGTACCTAGTACTTCTGATGAAAGATTGGTATCAGATAATGGGAAAATCGATGTTAACAAGTCAGAAGAAGGAAATGATGAGATAAATGATGCAGTTGCAGAGCTATCACAGTCTTCAAGTTCTTATAAAACTTGTAGTCAAGCAACTATCAGTGGTGAAGGCAGTGATTCTTGCAGTGTTAATGAGCCTAGTAAAGCTGGATGTGATGCTGATGAGCTTCAGCAAAGGAAGTCACAGTTGTTACCTGAAGGATCTGACTCAGAAGGAAGTGACAATGAGGAGATGAATTCATACAGTGTGAAGGTGAAGAGGGATGCAACTAAAAGGATCCTCATTAATAAGGCACCAACTATTTTGACCATTCATCTGAAGAGGTTCAGCCAAGATGCTCGTGGTCGCTTAAGTAAATTGAATGGTCATGTGAATTTCAGAGAGACAATTGATCTTGGACCATACTTGGGTATCAGGTGTGTTTCTAACCCTTACTTGGACTAATTGCTACCTATTAATGCTGCAACTGCATTGGTCACTTATCGTTATTATTTTTCTTCTTGTTCCATCTCTTCTAATTAATCGGCAAACCATTTTTCTCCTTGATGTTTTTTATTTTTGACTTCCTTTTGGTCTTAAACAAAATTGGTGTTTGTTATGCATAGAAAATTATCTTTTCTTTTCTTTTTCATTCTTGTTGATGCATCCCATCAGTTTCTTTTTTTCAGGCATCATGCTGACTTACTGGCTTTCTATGACCCCATTTACTAAAAAAAAAACAAACTCCCAGTGTCTCATATTTGATGGCTATAACTTTCATTTTTCTTGATAACAATGAAGGTAGGGGCATAAATTTGCACAGAATGTTTGCACCAATTTAATGTCTAGTCAAGAGGGAGAATTTCATGATGTGAATATGCCAGAAAATGGGATGCTCAAGAGGTTGAGAAAACCTGTTGTGGGTCTAACAAGATAATATACTCTCTCCATTGGGGTGCTAATATGTTCTCTCCATATTAGAAAGTTACATGTCTGTGAGTGGGGCATGTGGAGAAGATTAGGGACAAATTAGAAATTTTACGTGGCTTATTTAGGACGCATGAATTTGAGTTTTGCTTTTTCTGTTGTCATATGCTTTTGGAATCATTATTTATGTTATAATAGCTTTTAGTTGAGGTAATTTATAGTTTTCTGGGCATGGGCAGTAGAATATGGGTTTATGTGTGTTATGCCAGGCCAAATTCTATTATTGGGTCACCATGTGTAGTTTTTGTGAGGTTTAGAATGGTCATAGTAGTCAAAGAATCAAATCTACTTGTTACTGGGGCTAAGTCCTAGCAGAATCAGAAGTTTTGTAGCCTCTATTTTATTTATTTATTATTATTATTCAGGGGAATTGTAATGTACGAATTTGAGTTGGGTTGGTGGGGTTTTGCTTTATCATTCTGAGGGCGAGCCGGGAAGCACTCTTCTTCTTCTTCTCTTCTTTTTTCTTTTTGTTCACATAGACACAATATTACTATTCTTGCTCTACTTTTCTCAGCCACCAAACAGCCCATAATTTTTGTTGCCAGAGCCAGTGTAATTTGAAGGAAGAGGTGCACTGATGCTGCTAGGTCTCAAGGGTCTAGGTGTGGACTTCATTGAAGTGAGACACATGTTATGGATATTGGCCTTGTTTGGTGCAACTCATAGCATTTTTTATTTTGGGAATCTCTACCAGAGTGTTTGGTGCAACTTCTACTTATAACTTATATGAGACATAAATAACTATGCTTGAGGTCGAAGAAGGGGTATGGGGTTTTAGGGAGGGGTTGGGTTTTGGAGGTAGTGGGGCATTGTGTTACATGGAGTGATGATGGTTGTTAATCGAAGTTTTTTGGAGTTAGGGAAGGAGTATGTTCTAATTATGGAGAGCACATGGTAGCGGGTGATGGTGTTTGGTGGGGTGTGTGGGTGTTGGATGGGGAGTGGATTAACAAGGATTTAGGAGTGGAGATGGGAAGGTAGATTTGGGAGATGTTGTGGAAGCAATGGGGTCAGATTTATGAGGTATGGGAGTTTAGTGCTCGACAAGCTCCCATCAGGAAGATTGGGCAATTGCATGGACGTATGTTTTGCAGGAGGTGGAGGGGAGTCGGCGGTTCGAAATGGGGCCTACTATGGGGAGGGGAGGGGATTGGGGGGTGTGGTATATGGGATGGTTGAGCTTCAAGGGGATTACTTCAATTTGAAATTTCATTCAAAATTAATGCCAAAGGAATTTTATTTCTCAAGAATGTTGATAAGAACACTGGTAAATTAGAAAAGATGAGGTAAAAACACAAACTTTCTTTTTGCATGAGGTGGGGGGGAGACGGGGGTTTGATATGGGGACTGATCTAGGGGTCGGTTGAGCTTTAAAGGGATTACTTCAATTTGAAATTTCATTCGAAATTTAATGCCAAATACATTTTATTTCTCGAGAGAATTAACAAGAAACTGGTAAATTAGTAAGAAAAGTTTGCCCTCACTAATGATAAGGGTGGTTAGTTGAGCCAAAAACAGTCTAAACAAGTGGCTGGGAATGTGAATAAGTTGATTGGTATAGACAAAAGGATGGGCAAGTAATGATTGTACTATGAAGAAAATAGGAGGAAAAACATCCTCTAGGAAGAAAGGGGAACTTAAAAGTAGGGGTGTAAAAACACACGATCAAACTGACTCAACCTGCTGATCTTGGTCAGGTCTGTAGTTGCATACAGTGTTTTGTATAGATGTAGGCTTATAGCTTGATTCTTTACTCATTCCACACTAGGAAGAATCACTGGACATTGGGGGTGTTTGCTGGGGCTTTTTTGAGCCAACTTATGGCTTTTGGCTTTTAAAAAGTTATTTTGGACTGTTTGGTTAAACTTATTTCAAACAGATTTTGATTCTAACAACTTATTTTAAGTCAAAAAAGATGATTCTGAGAAGCTGCTCACCCCTTACTTCCTTCTGCTGTAGACATGTTAATTTATGATTATACTCTTAGATTTTTTTATTTTTTTTATTTTTTTAAAAATAGAAAAAGACTCAAATGGATTATAAAATATTATTATTATTTTTTATGAGAAATGTAGACAAATAGTGAATAATAAAAAATAAAAGTTAATTGAAAAAGTTACTTCACAACTTATTTAACAAATACTACTCAGCAACTTAAATCTATAATCCAACACTTATACCAAACAGATTAACAGTTTCTGATTAAAGTCATAATCTATATTCTGTTAAGCTATAATCTATAATCTGTTTTAACAGCTACACCAAACAGGACCATTGTTTATTTGCTCCTTTACCTTTCTATTTCCTAATGATATTTGCTGAGCAAGAAAATAATGTAAATTATTGTTATTTTTTTCCTCATAGAAGTGAATACATAACTATAGTTGCATAATTCATTAAAAAAATTTACACACCAATCAGTGTGATTATTCCAAGTCAAATGTTTTTTCTAGGTGCTTGGACGGAGTGCCAGTGTAGGATGCTAATAAAAAAAATCATATTGTGATAAACTAAGCAAAAGTGTATCTCAAAGGTTCAACGGTCTACTCGTCTCATGCATTGGATCGGTTAGAAAAAAAGTGCAAGTTCTAAATATGCCACACTATTTTTTGTATGTTGATTTCTAGTTAAGAATAAGGCGGGGTACTGGTTCAATTTTTGAAACACAGCTTATCAACTTGAGGTTATGGGTTCAAACCTGAGGGCATTCACTTTTTGCCAATAGTGCTAAAGGTTAGGTGTGTACCCAATCTACTCCTCCCAAATCCACATCCAATGGGGACTAAACTGAGTATATTTTCTTCGATTTTTTGTTAAGCGTTTTTGATTTCTGTTCTGGTGAAAATTCCACTCACAGACTTGTATATGCATAATAGTAGTAGCAAATTGTATCACATTTTATTCTGAGCTAGTTTACTACTATATGATTCGTAGCAATTATACAACATGTACATATAATAATAGTGTTATATACAATTATATAAGAAGTATCTATTGAAAAGTATCCGATACATATCCTATACCTTTGTCTGAGTGTTTGGTGTCCGACATGGGTATTTGATTTATTTTGAAGAGTCGTCTAACATGCAGTATGAATGACAATTTTTGCGTTGGCTGATTTCTAATTAAGCCTTTACTCTTTTTCTATTTGGGTGAATATTTATTCTTTGCTACTAGCCTGACACATGCATAATGATAGTTGCAAATGGTACTGCATTTCATTGAGTTTGTATTTAGCCATAATCTCCCATACTTGAATACATTCTACCACAATCTCTTTTCTTTTAGCTAGTCCAACACTCGTTCAATTTCAAAAATTTAGACATTATGGTATCTCATCAACATAGTAAATTATAGATACCAATATTGTTCTGTGTGAGTGGAATAAACATCTTCTGATACGTGCTGTATTGCTTGCATCCAAAAAATATTAAGATCCTGTTATCCCAAGGAAACTAAAAGAAAAAAATTAACAGTTAAGTCCTCTGATATATTTGAAACAATTTTTTTGATACGATTATTTAATTTTCTGCTTCTGATTTTGAAATGATTGATGCAGTCATTGATTTTATTGTCTTTGATTGTTACCAACTGTAAGAAAGGGGGGTTTATTGTTATGGAGACAAATTGTTATAACATTTTTATTCTTTTTGGTAAGTAGGTAGAATTGTGCACAAGAAGGTGCCAAGTGGGATAACATGTGTTGCACCTTCTACACCAACACAGAAAAGGTTCACGATGACTGAAGCAAATTGATGGTCAGAAGTGGTGGTCCTGTTGCTTTGAAGCACAAGCCATTTAAATGACTCTGATTTTCTCCTTGAGTTAGGCCATGCTTGTTAATTTTATTTATATTTTGTATTTCACCTTTTCCTTTCAACTAAGTTAATGCTATATAGATTGTTCTTATCCTTATTACCTTATAAAACCACAGACAACAAATGGGAAGCCAGTAGGCTTAATGCTTCTTCAGCATCTAAATTCTTGCCTTAAAGCAGTATATTTAAGCATCCAATTATTTAGGCATAAGAATTTTGTTTCTGATGCCATACTTTTGGGGGGTTTGAAGGAGTTATAAGCTACCAGATATGAACATTGTGTCCTGTGGTTTAACAAGAGGTGAAGGCAGAAAAACGCAATTATTTTTTGTCTGTGATATTTATTTTGATAGCAATTTATTGCCTAAAGATTAGGTTTGAGGATCTTCTGTCAAATTAATTCATTGTGTCCACCACTTATTTTGTTTTCATGTTAGTTCTTGAAGTTGTAACCTGACCTGCTGTAGAGAAAAGAAGGGCAGGAAAAGTGACTATTTTCCAACTTTGTATTTGGGACACCCTGTAGTGTCCTCGTTTAAAGCTAAAGCTGTGTGGGATGGGGTGGCATAGAGATTGGAGGGAAAATTTCTACATTGAAGAGTTAATATTTAGCTAAAGGCGGTAGAATGACCTTGATTAAGGAGTTATTTCATTTATTTTTTGGTTTGAAGGGAAGAGTTTTAAGTACTACTTGGTGTGATTGGGATAGAGTGTTTGCTCATCCAGAGGGGAGGCTTAGGGGGCTTCAAATGTTGTAAATGTTCAACAAAGCTTTGTTTGGATAAGTGACTTTGAGGGTTGGTTCAGAGAATGAGAGGTGGTCGAGAAAGGGGTGAGATTGGGGCAACTGATCCACATGAAGAGTTGTTGGGCCTTTTGGGGTGGGTTGTGGAAAGAGATTATGAAGGTGAAGAATGAATTCGCTAAAAGAATCTTTTTAAAGACGTGTAATGGGGGGAGTGTGAGGCTTTGACTTGATTTGTGGTGTGTCCATAAACCTGGAGCTGCTGTTAAATTTATTTCGTTTGGCTATTTACACCAATTGTCAATAGTGAATTATTTGTAAGTTGTTTATTGATGAGTATATGGTATGAACTTCCAATTATGTACCCAATTTTTTTTATTTTATTTTTTATTTCTTTATTTTTTTAAATTCCCAGTTTCAGAACAAGAAATTCAAGGAATGAAGGATTGCTGTGGAATGAACACCAATGGAGGATTTTTGTCATCTTAAATACATTGTAGAGTTAATATTTATCTAAAGTGGGGTAGAATGACCTTGATTAGGGGTGCTAGCTCTAACTTATCTATATCTTTGATGTCCATTTTTTAGGCGAGCAATATGTTATGATTTTTGAGATAAAATCTTGATGCCATAGCAATCAATTTGAACAACAGTTTAATCAGTCCATTGTGTTCTATGCAACCTAAACGAACACATAATCGCTCGAGTGTTCTATAAAATTGTATATATATATATGTATGTATACTTTCTGAGCAATAATTCTAACTGATCTTCATAACAATAAACTGCAGGTGCACGAAGAAGATGGATGAGTGCAAATTTCGTCTGCTTGGAGTGGTGGAGCATCTGGGAACGATGAGGGGAGGCCACTATGTTGCATATGTGAGAGGAAAGGGCAATAATAGGAAGGCTGAGAATGAAAATGAAGAAGATGTGTGGTATCATGCTAGCGATGCTTATGTGCGCGAGGCTACTTTGGAAGAAGTTCTACGCTGCGAGGCCTACATTCTATTTTATGAAAAAATGTGAGCAAATCTTTGCCTTCCATTCTTTAACCTTTTCTAATAGAATTCAGGGTTTAAATTCAACACCCTGCATGAGAGAGAGAGAGAGAGAGATGAGTGTACATAATTGCGAAAATTTTGATAATTTTTTTTTTTTGGGTTGATGTGCAATGATTTATAAATGTGCATTTCCAAATCTAAATATGAGAAAATGAGTTCTGTTCGTTCATCTGCGTGGCATCTGTTTTTTGATTTTTAGTTGCCGAGAATATCTTATTGGTGGAAAGTTATATTTCAATGACGGGAATCTTAAACGAAATGGAAATTACATTACAAGTAATGAGATCATTAATAATATAAAGCGATTGGTTTTATTAAGAATTGTGTGGAGAAATGGTAACATTTTAAATATTGTGAGCTCATTCTTCTTTGTACTTTGAAGGGTTAGAATGTGAAATTTTCATGGAAAAGTAGGGATGGTGTCAAATTTCTATTACTATTCAAATTTATGGTTTGGTTATGAATTTTTCATGAAGAAATGGTAAAAATTTAAATATCACAAGTCTAATTAATAGTTTTTAGGAGTGTGAGTTTGACGTGGAGTTATCAAACTCCTATCTGGGAAATGGGATTCATGGTAAAATAAGTAATTGGGAATTAGTTTTCTATTATAATCCATTCTAAATATTGAAATTTTAGTGATCTATTAATATATTTTTGTTATCTCTCAAAATTTTTATAATTCGAACTTAGCCATAATGTCTCATCACAAATATATTGGGTTCGGAGTCATGAAGGAGGCTATGCCTTGAGTTTGAGGTCTGACCCATGAAAAGTGAAAAATTATGTGGTGATTTTAGAATAACAACAATATTGGAGATTTACATTTTGCATTTATAAATATATTTACAATGATAGTGGGTCTTGTATTAGTGTTTAACTAATTAAAAATTGACACTTGTCTGATAATATCATTATGGGTTGATTGAGGAAAATTTATAAGAGTGTCAAATATTTTTCTTAAGACAAATTCATGTGATGTCTCCAAATATTTTTTATTAATTAAAATTATAAGACCTAATATTTTTTGTTTGAATTTTATTAAATAATTTAATAAGTGTTAAATGATAAATGGCGTTGAGCCAGCCTGCAAGCTTGTTGGGTAAAGTTTGGACATAAAATTTTTTAAGGAGGTCCAGGTCGTAGGTGGAGAGATACAAAGCTTCATGCTTAAGTCAGGGATATGAGTATATTTAGGATTATTTTGCGATAACTTTTAACTCACTTTTTTCTCTCATAAAAAAGTTTAAAAAAAATTAAAAAGTAATTTTTAACTATCTTCTCAAGACACTTTTTAGAACACAAATATTAGCATTATAAAAAATAAAATAAAAAACAAGATATATTGACATGTTAGATTTTTTTCATATTCATATCTTAATATAAAATAATTTGAGAGATTTATAGAGCGCATCACATGCATTATTTTGATAATCTAAATCGTTTATATTTTAAGACTTGTTGACTAAAATATTTACGTAAAAAATTAAGATGATCGGATATCGGTAACTATATGTTGGAATCAAATTTATATTATAAAAAAATGAATGATTATTTTTAAAATTATATTTTTCATCCATTTTTTAAATCCAAATCACCTCGTTTGGTTTCAATTTCTTGAACTTAATTTTCTGAAGTTGAGTTTTTTGTTTTTAGTAATTTTTTTAATATTTGAAGTAATTTTTTTATCTTTTAAATACACTTAATATAAATACAATTAAAAAGTATAGTATTTAACAAAAAAAATCTTTACAAAATTCACTAAATACCAAAAATATAATAAAATATTTATGAAAATTTAGTACATTTTCATATTATTGTGTATTTATTGATTTGTTTAAGTATTTTTTTTATAAATATTTTACTTTTTAAGTATATTTAAGTTCAGTGCATGTAAAAAAAAAATGTTTAAAATATTAAAAAAATTCACTTAAAACAAAAAAACATACGGAAAAATAAAAAATAAATTCAAAATATTAGAACTGTGGTGTAATGGGTTTAGAAATACTTTATTGTCCAAGAACAAAATGTCTTCTCTGCCCTCCTCTCCTTTCTTATATATTGTTTCTTTTGTGACCTTTCAAGGGCCCACTGCTTCCTCATGGGCTTTGACCCTGTTCATGGACCCTCTATGTAGCCCATGGGATAATTCGTTCAAACGGCCCTTTAAGCTTGGTTTTATTCAGCTTTGGCCCACTGACTTAATAGAGCCGACTTATCTGTGACCATAGATTCGGCATGTTCTGCCGACTTGCACTGTGTCAGCCCAGGTCGCGGTTCCATTTATTCGACTACCACAATTGCCCCCTGAACATCCGATTAACATTTGTTATTCGGCGCGGTCGGTTTAATATTTCGACAAATCTTGAAAGTCGGAAATACGGCGCACGCGTCCTCTAGTATTGATGCGTCAGATCAGTAGCCATTTGGAGTCATCATTGCTTCTCATCCCTTCGTAATTTGACGCTTATTTAATGCATTTTAAAAATCGTACGTATTGAATTTTGACTCATTCGCATTCTTCATACCGTTCTTCCTCCCTCACGACTCTTGTGTTTCCGACTCTACTTCATATTGCTTCACTTTTCTCCATCGTTCTATTTTGTAAGTCTCTCACTCTCTTTATCTTTTGTTCATATTCCAATCCCTTTGTGCATTGTTATTTATCTTCTATCCTGTCTGGAATGGCAACTCATTTGAAAACTCTCATTTCTGAGGAACGAGTCACCGCCTTCCGTCGTCACTTTTCAATTCCTGATGACGTCCACTTGTCCCTTGTGGCAGAAAGTGTGGTTGACATGGAGAGGGCGGATGTAAATACTATAATCTTCTCTCTCCTGTCAATTGCTGAGGGTGGAGTTCGTTTTCCTTTGTATCCCTTAAGACTGTTCTGCGCTATTGGGGTTTCATTCCCTCTTAATCCAATGTGAATTTTTACCGTATAGTCATGGGTTTAGTGGAACTAAACTGCCGCCTAGGGCTTAACCTGGGAATTCCGGCGATTCGGCATTACTATGTCTTGGAGAAGTCAACTGGTCGTCAGGGCTATTATTTTCTTAGAGCCAAGGACATAGATCACCATTTGGTGACTATGTTCGTTAGCTCCGAAAAAAGAGTCGATGACATCATGGTCGCTGTTTGAGGCAACTGAGAATTCAGCGAGTGAGAAGATTGCCAAGACCCTAGCCTAGATGAAGGGGCGAACTAGGTGGCTAAAAACGATCTTTAGTTTAGATGTTATATTCGACTTCAAAAGATGACTAATCTAGTTTTTTTTTTTGCAGGTAACGACTTAAAGAGAGTCCTTCCATTGGCAGGCCCAGCCGTTCTTAACCAGTTAAAAATGGCCCTTAGATACAAGGGGCGGGCCAATCTACAAGGACAAGGGCGCGCGACACATATTCTGTTAAGATATGACCCAACCTACGCAACCTTTTCGGCGGCAGATCATATCCCCGTACCGAGAGAAGAGCATCATCTCATGACACTCATATTCCCCAGCTTTAAGAGCTTAAGGGACATTGGTCTTGAGGGTCTAGGCACCGAAGAGGCTGAACTAGAGGGCCTTTTAGAAGATGAGAGTTCAGATGCAGAAGGCGCTAGACTAGAGATCCGTTCGGAAGAAAAAGAGCTGAATAGAGAAATTGAGTTGGCTTTTGAGCAACTCAACTAAGGGGGCAGCGACCAACCCTCTACTTTAGGCCAAGTGGAGACTACTTCTCCAAAGGACATTTTTTCTAAATTAGGAGATTTGCTTGGAGTCGACTCTGAAGAAATGGGCGGTGAGTTGCTTACCAAATTGCCAGGAGAAAAAATACAGAGAAGATGGCGGTACGTAGGAGAGCCAGTGATTGAGGGAATTTAGAAACTTCCATTCCGGCGGTTGTTATAGCAACTCAAGAATTGATCGTGGCCCACGAAGTCCTCGCTCGTCAGCTAATTGAGACTTTAGGCTCTAACCAAATCGATCAAAGGGACGAAAAGCGCCCCACCGAATTTATTGCTGAATCACCAGAAGAATCGGTTGACAAATGGCAAAGGCTAGAGCCATTTTCTCTAGATTCGGTTGAGCCGTTCGTCATCCAACCAAGGATAAAAAAATTAGCCGGTTCCATCCAGTGAGTCGGCCATTAAAGATGCTGCTGTGGCCCTTAGTATGGCATCGGCACTTTCACTTCCGTCAGATAAGGCCGCGTTCCGTGCAGAGTTGGACGTCGTTTCTATTGCTTTGGCGGCGCAGTCGGCTATATTGGTAAGTGCATTAGGATGAATCTGTTTTGTCGTTTTTATGTTTACTTTTTTGTTTAATGTTGCTGTTTTATTTGTTTAGGCGACGGGCAGGATAATGGAGATCAGCCGTCGTCACTACAATGTCGTAGAGAGACTCAGCGTGATTGAAGTCCAACTTCAAGATGAAAGAAACAAGGCTACAGCAGCGATGGCCGATCTCAAGACGACGACGGATAAGGCGGAGGCCGAAGCTAGAAGGGCTGAAGAGGAGTGGGTGAAGGCTGCAGTTGAAGAACAGAAAGCCAGAAGCGCCGAGGAGAGGGTTGCCAGCATGGACGGCGAGTTGAAGTTGGCCAAGGCGGAGAATTTGAGATTAATGGCTGAGTTTGAGGAGGCAAAGAAGGCCTGGGAGCAAGCTGAGGTAGATGCAGCCAAAACGTTCGATGTTAGTGAACTTGAAGCCAAAGGTTTATATGTCGACAAAGCATTGAAGTTCGAAAATCAAGGCTTCAAGCATGGCTGGCTTAAAGCTTTGGCGGTTGCCAAAGTGACTCTTGATCTGCCGATTCCGTACGAGCAACTGAAGGTCGAACCTCTGGAATCGGACCTAAAGGATTTTGAAGATGTTTAACGAGTGTGTTTATTTTTGCTGTTTATTTGTAGTTGTTTTGGTGTTAATACATTGTTAGTAATGTTTTTGTATTTAGGGCGGTTTTCATTGATAAAATGATACTTTGCTTGTATTCAGTTTATGAATAAAAAATGTCAGTTCTAAGAAGTGATGTGTGCATACAAATGAAAGTATAGCAATGGTTTGTGTTTGAAATTATTGTAATGAACTTATTTGTGATGCTTAAAGAAAAAAATGAACTGCGGTAAAAGGTCAAGTGGAGTAGCAGAGTAATTCGACCATTTATGGATGAGCCGAGTATATAAGAC